TATATCCTTTGTTGGCAATGACAGAGGTCAAACGTTTTCTGTAAGTCTTCACAAGGTTGGCCCACACATTGGCCCATTCCTCCATGCAGATCTCGAGTAGTGATGTTGTGGGGCTGTTGCTGGGCAACACGGATTTTCAACTCCTTCCAAAGGTTTTCTATGGGGTTGAGACCTAGAGACTGGCTAGGCCACTCCAGGATCTTGAAATGCTTCTTATGAAGCCACTCCTTCGTAGCCCAGGTGGTGTGTTTGGGATCATTGTCCTGCTGAAAGACTCAGCCATGTTTTATCTTCAATGCCCTTGCTGATGGAAGGAGGTTTGCACTCAAAATTTCATGGCCTCATTCATTCTTTCCTGTACATGGATCAGTCGTCCTGGTCCCTTTATAGAGAAACAGCCCCAAAGCATGATGTTGCCACCCCTGTGCTTCATAGTAGGTATGATGTTCTTTTGATGCAAGTCAGCATTCTCTCTCCTCCAAACACGACGAGTTGTGTTTCTACCAAACAGTTCTACTTTGGTTTCATCTGACCATGTGACATTCTCCCAATCCTCTTCTGGATCATCCAAATACTCTCTAGCAAACTTCAGATGGGCCCAGATATGTACTGGCTTAAGCAGGGGGACACATCTGGCACTGCAGGATCTGAGTCCCTGGTGGCGTAGTGTGTTACTGATGGTACCCTTTGTTACATTGGTCCCAGCTCTGCAGGTCATTCACGAGGTCCCCCCTGTGGTTCTGGGATTTTTGCTCATCTCTTCTTGTGACCATTTTGACCCCACGGGGAAAGATCTTGCGTGGAGCCCCAGATCAAGGAAGATTATCAGTGGTCTTGTACATCTCCCATTTTCTAATTATTGCTTCCACAGTTGATTTCTGCACACCAAGCTGCTTGCCTAGTGTAGATTCAGTCTTGCCAGCCTAGTGCAGGTCTACAATTTTGTTTCTGGTGTCCTTCGACAGCCCTTTGGTCTTCACCAAAGTGGAGTTTGTAATGTGACTGTTTGAGGTTGTGGATAGATGTCTTTTATATTGCTAATAAGTTCAAACAGGTGCCATTAATACAGGTAATGAGTGGAGGACAGAGCAGTCTCTTAAAGAAGAAGTTACAGGTCTGTGAGAGCCAGAAATGTTGCTTGTTTGTAGGTGACCAAATACTTATTTTCCACCATAATTTGCAAAAAAATTCTTTCCAAATCATACAATGTGATTGTTCTGGATTTGTTTTTTCATTTTGTCTCTCATAGTTGAAGTCTACCTATTATGTCAATTACAGGCCTCTCTTATCTTTTTAAGTGGGAGAACTTGCACAATTGATGGCTGACTAAATACTTTTTTGCCCCACTGTATATTACTTACATACATACATACATACATACATACATACATACATACATACATACATACACACACATACACATACATACACACATACATACACACGCAAATATGCAGTAATGTATAAACAAATATGCGAAACTATGAATCATTTTTATAACATATACTACCATTATAGTATCGATTGTACAGCTATGAAAATATTTACTTAGTGGTTTTTCTTTCTTATGTAGACCATATTTCATCCAATTCCACTCCTGTAACCTTAATATCTGTCATTTAACCATTTGTATAATAGTTCCCATGTTATAAAATAATCCGAATCTTCTTTTCCACCTATCCATCTCTGCACATCCCCAAAAAAATGTATTATATCATCTGGAGGGGTTTCTGGGTTTTTCCAGCATTGTATATATGCAACATACGACTGCTGTTGGGATATGTAAAACCAAATATGTGTTACTCTTATAGTTTCCTGGAAGCATGCCCAACAAAAATGTCTCGGGTTTCAATCTATGTGTTGTGTTGTCATATTTTCCAGCCATATGTGTATTTTCTTACAGTATTTTTTGGCTTTGGGATATGTCCACCAAGTGGTAGTATGAGCCTGGTGTTTGATTGCATTTCCAACATTTGACAGATTTATTTTTATACATGTTCGCTAATCTTGCAGGTTAGTAGTGCCATTTATAAAACATTTTATAGAGGTTTTCTTTATATGCTGTTGACATTGAGTTTTATGATTTCTATTCCATAATTTCTGCCACCTGTCCAAATCTATTGTGCAGCCAAAATTCTTAGCCCAAATTATCAGTTTCTTTTACTTGTTCTTCCAATTTGCAAGTTAATCAGTGGGTACCACAAAGTTCCATCTTAAATCCAGTACTCTTCAATATCTTCATATATCCTCCTGATTAATTTTAGATCTGTTTCCATTAAGATCTCGTCTAGCTAATTTGGTTAATTATAAAACCCATAGTCCTGCCTGTCTTTTTCATACTTGGATTGTATCTGCAATTGTGGCCACCATGATAGGTCAATCCCTAATCTTTTTAGTTCTTGTTTTGTTTTTAGTTCTCCCTTCATTTAATATGTCCTTATATAATAATTTTATCCATATTTTTTGACATTAGGTTATATCCACACCTCCATTATAGATAACTATACTGGCACTTTCAAATAGTGTTGTTGTTTATGTAATTTTGGTCCATGCTAGCAATAATGCATTTCTAATGTGATGCCTCTGGAAGTAGCTGTGTATCATACCCTTCTCGTATCATAAGAAAGGCATGTCATCTCAATTGCAGATCATGACCTTCCAACATTAATAGCCTTATATTCCTCAGATTAACCCACTCTTTCACCCAGTGCTGATGCTTGGTAAAATAGTTCCCAATCCGGAAGACCAAAACCTTCTCTACTTTTAAGATCTTGTAATATTGTATAAATTAGTAGACCAATGAAATGCTATGAACATATGGTAGTATACTTAAGACTTCAGCAAGGCATTTGACAGAGTAGACCAAACTTAATTCTTGGTAAGCTGCAAAAATGTGGGCTAGAATGCATCACCAGATGGATTTGTAACTGGTACTCAATGAGTAATCCTTAATGGTACTATATCTACATGGAGGGAAATAATCAGTGGGTACCACAAAGAACTCATCAAATCTGCAGATGACACTAAGCTTGCAGCCAATACCCCAGAGAATACAAGCTCATGATCCAAAAGGGTCTTGACAAACTTGAACACTGAGTTCTATCCAATAAAATGAAATTTAATGTGAAAAGCAAGATTTTACACATCATTCTTCACTTAAAAAAACATGAACCAGGAGGTGTGCTTCAGCTCGTACAATCCGGTAACCATTAGAGGAGAACGCTGTAACTTCTCTCAGTTAAGCTTTTGGTGACTGATTGCTATGATGCTATGATCAATTATCTTATGTGTCTTTTGTAGTACTCGTGTTTTGATTCGTGACCATAAATAAGGTATTATTATTATTATTATTATTATTATTATTATTATTATTATTATATCAGAATTATTATAAAAGGAGATGATGTAATCATGGCTTTTAGAATAGAAAATGATTATTAAAATAATACAATAATAATTAAATCTACTTTTTCAAAAGACGAGTACTACAAAAGACACATAAGATAATTGATCATAGCATCATAGC